ATAAAGAAATTATTCTATATTAAATTTATTACATGAAATAAATAAAAAAATTATTTGTAAAATTATTTTTAAGAATTAAAAAATTGTCGTCAATATTTCAAAATTTTAATTATCGTAAAAAATTTTCTTTATTGTATAAATCAAATTTTTGTTTAAAGGATAGAGGTGTTGCAATAACACTTCGTTCAATAATGTGTGTGACTGACACATAGATGGCGGCACTAATACTAAATAAATATTTTTTTTCGAAAGTGGCAACCTTTTTAGGCTTACTGTCAAAATCATATGTTAATCCGACCATTTCTTTACAAGTTACAGTGCTTTAAGTGACGCTACTTTTGAGTTTTCAAAAAAAAATGAATTCAAAGCAATTCCGTGTGCTGATTTATCATTGTTTTTTAATGAAAAAAATACTGTTCAATGCCAGGAATGGCTTGAAAAACATTATTCGGACTCTGCTCCATCAAAAAGAAGCATTTGTTACTGGTATGCCGAATTCAAACGTGGTCGTACAGACACATTCATGACAGTCATACAGACATGATATTCCCTCTACTGGACGGCCAAATGACGCTGTTATTCCGGAAAACGTTGAAAAAACACTGAAAATCATTATGTCCGACCGTAAAGTGAAAGTGAGGGAGATTGCTGACATTCTACAGATATCAGCAGACAGTGTACACACCACAATACACAAACATTTGGGTATGAAAAAGGTGTTTTCCAAATGACTGCCGCGTTTGCTCACACCGGAGTAAAAACAACAACGAATCGATGATTCAAAGAGCTGTTTGGACATGTTTACGCGCAATAAGTCGGAGTTTTTGCGTCGGTACATCACGATGGATGAAACATGGATCCACCATTTCACTCCAGAGTCAAATTGGCAGTCTGCTGAGTGGCATGCAGCCGGTGAAAGCCGCCCAAAGCGACTAAAGACGCAGCAGTTGGCTGGCAAGGTTATGGCGTCTGTATTTTGGGATGCGCATGGAATAACATTCATCGACTATCTCCAGAAGGGGAAGACCATCAACAGCGACTATTATATAGCGTTATTGGAGCGTTTGAAAGACGAAATCGCAAAGAAACAGCCTCATATGGCGAAGAAAACAGTTTTGTTCCACCAAGACAATGCACCGTGTCACAAGTCGATGAAAACGATGGCAAAATTGAACGAATTGAGCTACGAATTGCTGCCACACCCACCATATTCTCTAGACCTGGCCCCCAGCGACTACTGGCTCTTTGCAGACCTCAAAAAGATGCTCCGTGGTAAGAGATTTGGCTCAAATGATGAAGTAATCGCCGAAACTAACGCCTATTTTGAAGGCAAAGAAAAATCGTTTTACAAAGGCGGTATCGAAAGATTGCAAAAGCGTTGGAATGATTGTATCTCCCTAAAAGGGGACTATGTTGATGAATAAAAACGAATTTTGGCAAAAAAATGTGTTTTAATTATTTAGTCACACACATTTACTTTTCTACTTTACTTTATTGTTAAAAAAGTGCTTATGCACAAATAGGGTACCATACTATATTTTTAACGAATGTAATATGTAATGCGATCCCACACGAAAGAACTACCACAATGCAAGTAGAATGTTTGGTCATAGCAAGTATGCAATTGTTATTTGAAATTTTTTTTTCTGTGCTACTATTCTGCATATGTCGATATTACACACTTAAATGTGTCATAATACTCTGTAATAGCATTATTAGACAGACGGGAGCTAAATTATCATTAAGGGGCTAAATTATAATTTATTTGCTCATTTATTAGCAGTTTTAAATGATCATTTATTGTCTTTAAATGACCGAATTTAACCACATTTATTCATCATTTAGGTTTTTAGAAATGGTAATGCTGCATATGCAAGCGAAACGAAATAAAAAATGGAACAAATTTCAAGCTATTTGGTTGTCAAAATGTAAACAAAACATATTTGGAAACATTGGTAAATGTAAATACTCGATATATTTTTATATTTTTTTTATATATCTTATATTTAATTAAAGCAAGTTTTTTAATTTTTCTTGCTTATCCATTTTGAATTTAAAATTCTTTCTTTTGCTTTTTCAATAACAAAAAACATATGATACAGTAACTTCTTAATGATAATTTATACCGTCTGTCAGGGTATTTTTAAAATGATCATTTAAGGCTGCTTAATGATAATTTAGTGCGCTCGTCTGTCAATGCTATAAGCATTGATGTGGGTCAACCTTTTTAAATTATAGTAAAATATTTTGTATAAATAGTTTTGAAAATCATTAATAAAATTCAGAAATTATACTGAGCTGATGAAGCTTAAAACGAATTCTCACACTTATTTGTAGTCTCGGCAATTTCGGATGACTATACATGAGCAGATTTCTTCCTGCTTAATTTTTAAAAAAGAAGAAATTTATAAAGTTGATATAAAATTCCGATTCCTGAAAAATGAATGTACGCATCTCGAACATCGATAGTTTCGAGCTGAACGAAACCAACAACAAAACAAGTTCGAATCGTATTGATATGAGATGCTTAATAGGCATGAAAATAATAACATCTGTCGCAACATGGAATGTACGCACTTTAAATGCTTAATAGGCATGAAAATAATAACATCTGTCACAACATGGAATGTACGCACTTTAAATGTCGCTGGCACTTTAATGACACTTTAAATAATTCGAAGAACTTAAAAACGAGATGGCTTGCTACAAAATCCACATTATCGATATATGAATGTAGGTGGAATGGAAATGGCACGATCAAACACAAAAATAGTTTGTTTATTTATTCAGGTTCTGCTTATGTTAATGGAATAGGTTTTCTTATATCATTAAAGATTACTCAGGGGATATTAGAAAGGCATCCATTCTGCTCAAGGATAATAGTCCTAAAACTCAACACGCGTGCACGTATCATGACCATTATCAACTGCAAGATGATGAATGCCAAACCGATTTCTATGATCAACTTGAAAGGTGTAAAATATGTATTCTTCAAACGGAGATATTCTCTTAGTACTAGGAGATTTTAACATTTAGGAAAATACTTGCGGTGTCACAGTCTGGGTACCCAAAACGATAATGGAAACAGATTTATCGAGATGTACTGCAAGGCTAATCTGGTACACAAAACATCACACAAAACAATTTGTGTTTCTCTAGGCGGGGGAAAAAAGAATCAAATAGACCACCTCTTAATTAATCCCCGATGCAGGTCATCGCTGCTGAACGTTTGTGTAAGAAGGAGTGCTGATGTCGGCAGTGATTATTATATGGTGGTTGGCAAACTGAGTAGTAAAATCTCTAAAGAGATCGCTAAAGAGAGCTGTACAAGTGGCAAATAAAAGAAGAGATGTTGAGAGGCTGAAAAACAACGAGATTAGGACTATGTGCAAAGAAGCTCTTACAAATAATTTCCAGTCTACCGTTTTCGAGACCGATATTAACGCACATGTCAAAACCATTTTTCGTATATACAAGGATGTTGGTCTTGATATACTAGAGTGTTAAAATAAAACCAAAAAGTCTGGAGGTCTGATAGAACTTGGCTCCTGATGGAAGAAAGAATTAAAATAAAGAAAGCGATGCTTAACGTTGAAAATACTGAAAGCGTTACACTTCTGCAACTTCGAAGCATATATAAACAACTCTAAACATCAATAAAGAAATCGGTCAGACATGAGAAAAGAGAATGGACAGAAAATCAAGCACAAATTACTGAGTCTGCAGCTAATTTGGGTAAGATGAAAGATCTTTACAAGGTAACAAGGTTGCCTTCCGGCAAAGGTCACTACAAGAAAAAACCTGTTAAAGATAAGAACGGTAAACTTATCTCCAACTCAGAATTGCAGCTCAAGAGATGGGCTGAACACTTTAATAAGGTGCTCAACAACCTCTTAGGATTACAAGAAGATATAGAACTTAACTCTCTATCAAGCAACTTGCGTTACTTTCAAAGTGTCAATTCGGACCAACCAACAAGATCTGACGTTATCGCCGCCATAAAATTACTTGAAACCAACTAGGCACCAGGCAGTGATAACGTCAATCCCGAACTATTAAAGTGCGATCCAGAAGTATCAGCATCCAACTAGACACCAGGCAGTCACAACGTCAATCCCGAACTATTAAAGTGCGATCCAGAAGTATCAGCATCTATATGGCTCCCTATTGTGCAGAAAATCTGGGAAAACGTGACTCGGCAAATTGGTCGAAATAAGTTGTGTGTTCCCCCACAATGCAATCAATGACACAATTTAAAAAACCAATATGAAAATGCAATTATATTTAATGAAGTACATATTTGTTCAAATTTGAAAGAAAAGGATTATCCTATTTCCGAGATACTGTCTTTGGTTACATCATAATACTTATTTTTTTCTTTTGATATTGTTTTTTTACATTGTCGTATAAAATAACACATTTTGAATTAAAATTATATTGTGCTCACTCCATTCCAAAACACATGAAATTAAAAAATTTTTGAATGTATCAGTTTTGAATTGCATAATTAGTAAACAAACAACATCTGAATAGTGATGTTTTTTTTTTAATTTTTTGCTAGACTATAACTATTACAAAATAACTATTTTTTAATATATTACCTTTTACAAATATTGTAGAATTTTATTATAAAATAAAAATTAATCATTTTAACCATTGTTAAAATGCGTTTTACTTTTATAAATAACTACTGGTTGTTAGGTACCCATTAAAACATTAATCTTACAGATTTTCCTCTCTAACAATTTTAAATTCAAATTTTTAAATTAATTTAACATACAGTGACTCTCGGCTTATTTCATCTAACACCAATTTTTAAAATTTTTTTGTAAGCTTTTTCTTAAGTCTTCTTTGTTGGAAATAGTATATTACCGAATGTTTTGTTCTAATATTGCCCGTAAGTTTTCAATGTCATTCATGTCTGGACTCTGCGTCGGCGGTATGATCAGATGTGGACAGTTCCAAATCAATCAAGATTGTAAGATGTCGGCCTTATAGTTTTAGTCGTTATCTTGGTAAAAGCGAAATGTTTCAAGAATTCCAACTTTCATGGCACTCTGGAGTAAATTTTTTTTCAAAACGTTGAATTACATTGTTTTGTCTATGTTACCATCAATAAGCTCTACAACATAACATAACATAACATAAAACTTTCACCGTCATGCTTTACTATAGCTTTTAAATTTTTTTTTTTGAGCTCAGTATTCTAGTAGCCAGCGACTCAACGAATTCCGCAATTTTTCGCTGAGGTTGGCCGTCTTTTAAATGGGTTAGCACCAATTCTCCCTGCTTAATTGTAGTGCTTTGAAAATACTTCAAAAATATTAGGAAAAGAAAAATCCCGTTGCACAGAGCGACATACCAGGGACTACGTGCAAATGATAATTTGAATAAAATAAGCTGTGAACTATAATTCTATTACGCGATCGGGTTTTTCCCCTTTGAGCGAATCTAGAACAAATTTTATGTACTTTGTTTCATTTATTATATTCAATAAACATGCCTTTCCTCACTTACATTAAAAACTATATATATATATATATATATATTGTTTTCTAATTCATTTTTAAGATAATGTTTTAGAAATTTAAAACAGTGTTAGATGAAATAAGCTAAGATCCACTGTATGTATTAAATTTCACATATTTATCACTGTTACAAATTAAAATAAAATCCTATAATGCACATATAAAGATGCTGTAAGATAATTAACAAAATCACAAGAAAAATCAAATTAGCACATTCAAAACATAAAACATTTAATTTGTTATATTTGATTTCATTTATATAAACCAGACAAATAATAATTGAAATATAACAAGCTAGTCATTAGCAAAATATATATAACTTAAAAGTACTTACCATTTTAGTATTTTCCATCAATAGAGTTAAATCGCTTTCAGTCTTTGATTTAGATACATGTATAGTATTAAAATCAAATGTTTCATCGGTAGCATTCTATATAAATACCAATCTTATAATTTTAATTGTTATTACATTAAAGCTCAAACCTTTGATATTTTCGAAGTCAGATATTTTAAATCACAAATATTATCTTGAAATAATTTAAATTCAACAATGGCTAAAGCAGCAAAATACTTTTCCAATCGCTCCAAATTTAATTTTCCACCTTCATTAATGTGTCCTTATATATTAAATAACACAAAATTTATAGATCAGATATCACATAAATAGTAATTTTTATAAAAAAAATTTACCTCCCAATGTTGGAAAAACTTCAATATAAGATTTATATAAAAGGGGTAAGGCATTTGAGCTTATGTGGAAGTATGGTAAATGGGGAATAAAATCGTTACCAACTAAAAACCCCATCAGTATCCAATCATCAATCATGTTTACAATATCAAATTTTGCACAACTTTTTCGTAATTCATTAAATTCAAGTTCCAAATATTCACGCAATAAACTTAAATGCAAAAGGAAGAAACGAGTTTCTTCTACTGAAGCCCGCTTAGTGTTTCGTCCAAATTTCACCTCTTCGCGTAGAACAATGAAATGTAATTCATGGGTACATAAACCAAGTATTATTAAATCTGCATCCAGACCATATATGCAATGACGAGTGTTTAAATCATATTCTTTTTCTGACTTCATATATCTTATATAGTCCATAATTTTGTGCTCGCCTTCTCCTGGGCACTACAGAAAAAAAAATTTAATACCAATATTGTTACGAGTCCTCACTTACATTATGACCACTTAATATTACTCTTGTTGTTTGCCATATAGAATCTGTACTTATTTTGCTCTTTACAAAATATCTTAGTGCTTCGTGAAGTCGAGTCATAAATTCAGTCCCTGGAGTAATGCAATTACTATCAAAACGTTCGTTTTGACGTATTTCTCCAGACCGCAAAGCTTTTTCTTCTAAAATTTCAGCCTCCTTTGCTGCACGAAATCTAAAATAGTTTGTAATTCTACATATTTATAAAAACAAAATCATACTAATCGCACCTGCGACCTCTTTGTTGGTTCATTTTAGCTCTTGGTGCCACTCCATCAACAGCCATAAAAAATAGTTTCTTTGGTTTAATAAGAAAAAATAATTTGTCAATATAATTAAATATATCTTTAAATATTTGTTCTTCACTGATACTAAAGTGAATGTCACTATCATCCGGATGAGAACAGTTATGTATAATTCCATTCATGTCCAGATAGAAGTTGTCAAAATCTGGTATCTAAGTTGCAAATAAGAATTACAAAATAATTTTTTTTCATTTGAAATACGGCTTACAGACTGTTCACGAGCCAGCTCACTTAAGCATGGATATCTTTCACTTATATACCGAAAGAATTTAGGCACTCCCATTTTAATTAAAATTCAACACATATATAGTAATATATATTAAATATTGCTATAATATTTAAATCCAAGACAATCCTTAGTTCCAAAATATATTATTGTTCTAATATTCAACAATTGATATGCGTTAGCATTATTTTGACACTTAATACAATTCAGTCTCACAGTGTTGTAAAACACAAATAGTATTAATAATTACCAAAGAATATCTGTATAAGAGGAGAAACACTTTGCTCTCTGAGAATAACGTGAGAAATTTTTGCCGAAAATTCATTTTTTATAACATATTGGTCACACGTATTCTATGCATGTTATTTCACCAAGCTTACGTCAAATTTCGCTCTTTTAGGGCTGCAATATTACTTTTATTGTATACATTTTACAAAAGGATTATTACTATTTTTTATTTTAGTATAATAAATATGTTTAGTAGTATTAGAGCTATGCTATGCAGAGTGTCTCGGGCACGGCAAATTACGCTCTTTCGGGCTATGCCGAAAATGCATGTTATACAGAGTGTCACATCAGTATTACCAATTTTGTATTTTTACTACTTTTTGGTTGTGCCTAAATTTAAAAGGAAATTTTGATATGCTCACTTTCAATTTGCCACCAACAAATTGCAACAAGAAAACAAGCAAGAAAAAACTCATAGAGGCTGTAATAATGTCAATTTATTATTATATTATCTTATAATAATTGTTAACAGTACTTACGCGTTTTTTTTAAATCGGAAAGTGTAATTATTATATAATTAGCGATTTATAAAAAACATGCTGTGTTGCTTACTGCCATTTTTTCTCCAAAACGTATTAGAATTGTAATAATTTGCTCCTAAAAGGCGCAAATTTTGATATTTATTACTAAATAACACTATTTTGTCTTAGTGCCGAGGCACAAATACGCCGGCTCTCATGCCGGAGTTTGAACGGTCATATTGTTTTTTCTCTCATTCTCAAATTTAAAATTTGCATTGAAAACAACAACAATTGTACTCATGCCATGCCCGAGATACTCTGCATAACATGGCCCTTTATGAAGAAAACGGGTTAAAAAAGAAATTATGTTTATGTATAAATTAAATCTATATATAAAATTATATAAATCTATATATAAAATTATATAAATCTATATATAAAATTATATAAATCTGTAGGGCCTATTATGAATAGTCGATCGCTGATAGACAATAGAAAAATTTCTACTGCTGGTAGAAAAAATCAAATTTTGGTATTATGAATTGCAAACCGCTAGAAGTTTTTCTATCAGCGGTAGATAAATTTCTCTACTGCATTTGAGCAGTAGAAGTTTGTCGATCGTATACAATAAATGCTGTTAAAACGCTTTATACAGTCAATTTAACATATAAATTTAATAAAATTTTAATATTACTAATAGGCCTTTTCCGTGGCTCGCAAGTGCGGCAAAAAATGCATGTTGGCCTATGTTGGCCACGCGAGTCATTGGCATCACTGTTGCAATCTGTCAAATGTTTTGTTTTGACAAACAGCAAATCTTGTATATGTGCATATAAATCAAATATATTTTTAAAAAAATATTATAAAATTAAAATGAACACGGAATTACAAGGAATGGTAAAAATATTGGAAATTTAAAAATAAAACACTAAGATAAGTAAATTTTTGTAGGTATTGTCGATGTTGGGAGAAGAAAGCAACGTTTTGCAGCGGCCGAGAGATGCAAGTTGTTTCACGGATTTTTTAAATGTTATGAATGCCGCAACAGCCTCCTCTGAAGATTCAAGCAAGAGTGAAGAAGAGCAGGAAAAGTGTAAAAATTTTGAAGAAAGTATAGAATCAATGAACCCAATGGATTTTAAAAGTCACTTCAGATTACGACGAAATACAGCGGAAGACCTTATCTGTAAATATACATTGAGTTGTCTGTGATTAAATTACAAATTTAATTTATTTCTAGTGCGCTTCTCAGAATCGGAGAATTTGTCGGATACAGATTGTGGTGGTATTAAACATGTAAGCATGTAAGAAAGTCTATATATATCTTTGGTACGTTGGTAATACAGTAACTTATAGACAATTAGGAAATCTCTTTGGAGTGTCAGCTTCTACGGCATGGTCAACAGTAAAAACTGTTACTACGTTTTTGATTTCCATAGGCCGAAATTATGTATCATGGCCACGAGAAGTCGCTGCATTAGATATAATAAATTCATTTGAACGTGAACACAAAATACCAGGCATTATCGGAGCAATCGATTGTACACACATTCCCATTAAAAAACCACAAAAGCATGGAGAAGATTACTTTAATCCCAAGCAACGTTATAGTATCGTTCTCCAAGCTGTTAGGGATGCCAAAAAAAAATTTATTGAAGTTACTTGCGGAGAACCTGGATCTTTGCATGATTACAGAGTTTGGAGAAGGTCAAAGCTATATAGAATGGCACAATCAAGATACGAAGAAATATTTCCAAACTCGACATTTATTATTGGAGATTCTGCTTATCCTTCTACAAACTGGATTGTGTCACCTTACAAAAATTATGGGAATTTAACCGATAACCAAAAAAAATTTAATGAAAAACACTCATCTGCTCGTATTGTAGTTGAGAACGCTTTTGGTTTACTAAAAACTCGTTTTCGAAGATTATTAAAATTTACGGAGCAGACAAATTTGGCTGCAATAACAAATATAGTTGTAAGCGTTTGTATTTTACATAATATTTGTATTATAAAGGATGATTTGTTCGAGAATGCTGAATCAAATAGTCATAATGAAAGCAATGACGAACAGCAAGCGGATGAAGAACATGAATTAGATCATGGTAATAATAGAAGGGAAAGACTTTTTAATTATTTGTTAAGAAAAGGTGTTTTATAAGTTTATTAATTAATATATTTATTGTAATTTTTTAAATAGAAAATTTTGTTACATTTATAGAAACTAATTTAACTTTAGTTTAATAAGTAATAATATTTTAATGCGTAAATATTTTGTAATTTATTTATTAATAGCATAAATTAATGTGTAAGATTAGTTTTAAGATTAAAATATTATAATGTTTTTGAACGAAAATAAAAATACTATACTATTACAATTAGAAACTTATTTGAACTTAAAATATTTTACATAAAAGTAAAATAAATAGTACAAATTTAAATATGAATTAAAGAAATTCTTAACTTAAAAATATATATTACATAAAATGAATATAACATATTTTTAATTAAAATAAAAATATTATATCAACATATTTCATATCATTTATAAAGTATTTTAACTTATACATATTTTTTTTCTAAAATTTATTTAAATATATTTACATATTTTGCGTAAGTTTTTCAAGTAACTTGAATTTATTTTCTTCCAATTTCAATTTTCTTTCCTCTAATTTCAATTCATTATCCCATTTCTTAATTATTTTTTACTTCAGTTCATTCATAGTTTCTTTAAAGAATTTTAATTTTTCTTCCTCTATTCTTTTCTTAGCAAATAATTTGTTACCATAATATTCTTGACGCACAGATTTTCTTTTGCGGTTAAATAATGAAGTTGAAGGTTGTGGCAATTCCTGCATTTGCAATTCCTGCGTTGATGATTCTTGCGTTGGCGATTCCTGCGTTGGAGATTCCTGCGTTGGCGATTCTTCCGTTGGTGATTCTTGCGTTGGCGATAGCACCTACCTCGGCCAGCATAGTTATGCTGGCCAACCACATCGGCCAGTAAAAAAAAAAATGTTACCAACGCAATAAGCGAACTATTGTGAACCTTCATTGAAAATTCCAACGAATAGTGCAATCAAATGTCAAAAATTAAGGAAATAAAAATTCAAACAGAATTCAAAAATTTGAAAAATCTTGAAAAGTAAAGAAGAAATAATAAGAATGGAGAAATCGTAAGTATTAAGCACATTGAATTTTTTATTATGTTAGTTATTTAACATTTATTTAGTAACATTTATTTTATTTCATTTAATTTGTAGTTTACATACGTAAAATTAATAAAACAAACATAATTTTTGAAGTTTTTCTAAAAAATTTTTTTATCGAAATACACGCAAACTATGGACAAAGGAAACGAAATGTTTTCTAGAGTGCTACTTGACACGAGCATTCATAACATTTAAAAAATCCGTGAAATAACTTGCATCCCTCGGCCGCTGCAAAACGTTGCTTTCTTCGCCCAACATCGTCAGTACCTACAAAAATTTACTTATCTTAGTGTTTTATTTTTAAATTTCCAATATTCTTACCATTCCTTTTAATTCCGTGTTCATTTTAATTTTATAATATTTTTATATAAATATATTTGATTTATATGCACATATACAAGATTTGCTGTTTGTCAAAACAAAACATTTGACAGATTGCAACAGTGATGCCAATGACTCGCGTGGCCAACATAGGCCAACATGCATTTTTTGCCGTACTTGCGAGCCACCGAAAAGGCCTAGTGTTGTTGTTTTGCGTACATTGCGGCCAGTATAGGCCTGCATAGGCCAGCAACTTGCTGTTTTTTGCCATACTTGCGAGCCACCGAAAAGGCCTAATGTTATAGTTTTATAATTCATCATCATTAATGCAAATTTATTTAAAAATAAAACATTTGCTTAACTTTATAACATACGTATTTATTAAAGGCATTTGTTTAAAACAATATATTTTATTTGCGTACATAATGAATAATACCTTCTGCTCAAAAAGCATCCGGATTTTGTTGTTTGTTAACTACTCCTTAAGTAATAGACCTTTTTTAAAAATTTTTTGTTATGTTGGTACACCCTTTTTTGACATATGATACAAATTTTGAGCGGCATCTGTCAATTAGTTTGTTTACAGCAGATGTTAATGTGAGATTACCTCAAGTGCATTTACCGATTTTTACTATGGAAAATTCTTGTTGTACGCGATTTTTTGACCATACACGGTACCACTGTCATCGCTCAGACACCATATTCTCCAGATCTGGCGCCGTGTGACTTTTTCCTGTTTCCGTAAGCGTTTTGAGTCGATTTAATCTGGGACTAGATAATTGTACTGGCTAAATATAAATATTTATAGTATATTTACATATAAAAAATTGAAATTTAAAAACAAAATTATAGCATTTTTCTTAATAAAACAATAAAAATATGATATAGTACTTAATTTTGAGAAATATTTTTATAAT